GTCGTGACTTGGCCGATCCGGACCGCGACCGTCGTGACTTGGCCGATCCGGACCGTGAGCGTCGTGATTTAGCCGATCCTGACCGCGAGCGTCGTGACTTGTCCGAACGGGATCTTGACCTAGATCGTGACTTTGCGTGTGATTTTGATCGAGAGCGAGACCTGGATACAGATTTAGAACGGGATCTGGATAGCGAACGTATACGCAGTCTGGACGGGGAATGGGATCTAGACTTAGATCGAGATTTAGATCTCGACTTGGAACGAGATCTAGGTCGTGAATGGGAACGAGACCTTGAACGGGATTTAGAACGCGATCTGGAACGAGATTTGGAATGGGACTTGGAACGAGATCGAGAACGAGATTTGGATCGTGACTTAGAGCGAGATTTGGAGCGAGATCTAGAACGTGATTTTGATTGTTTTAAGCGAGATTTGGCTGGCGAGTCAGAACCGGAACCTGAACGTTTTCTCTTGCGACCTGAAATTTCAAATTCAACATTTTAAAATTGAAGTAAATCCAAAAGTTTTTGAGATCTTTTTTCGGTAAATAGTTCAATTTCTCATAAAATTGTCTCAGTTTTAAAGCAACATTTAACCAAACAATAAAGAAATCTTAATCAAGATCATCTTGACAATATTACAAATAATTTATATTGTTCATCTTAACTTTTATTATATGCTATGTCTATTCACCTCGAGTCTCTTCTTCGTCCACGTCCATGTTCTCAGTCAACTTGCTTTTCGCTTTGTCATCTTCAGGAGATCTACTTCTAGATTTGGATTTGGCAGGAGACTTGCTCGGAGACTTACCACTTCTTGGCTTAGATTCTGTTGAAGTCTCCAGAGACTTATCCGGAGACCTACTTTTGGATCGGGATCGTCTCGGCGACCCGCTGCCGGATCTACTTCGCGATCTAGACTTTGCACGCGACCTACTAAGAGACCTAGACTTTGCAGATCCACTTCTTGACCTAGATCTGCTGCGCGACTTGGATTTGCGGGAGATGCTTCTAGACCTAGACTTAGCAGCTGATCTGCTTCGCGACCTAGACCTCGACCGCGACCCTTCCGAACCGCTCCTTGACTTAGCCGGCGAGCCTCTTTTAGACCTTAATCTGTGTGCTGAGCCGCTTCGTGATCTTGATTTAGATTTGCTTCTCGATCGCGATCTAGCCGAACCACTCCTCGATCTTGATTTGCTGCTGGATCTTGATCTAGCTGAACCACTTCTGGATCTAGATCTAGACTTAGCCCGAGACCCGCTGCGGGACCTGCTTTTGGGCGAGGCGCTTCGAGACCGGGAGCGGGAACGAGATGTGCCGCGAGACATCTTCGACTCCGATGCTACCTGATAAAATTTTATGCAATAAATAACCTTATATTATTATGATGTATTATATGAACACGGCGAAACAAATTGGTTAAAATTGGGTGAATGGATTAACAACATATTTGTGTTGTAAGCTGGAGTGTGGCAGGGTCACCGTGTACACAAACAGTAGTTTTCTATTACCTCACCATAATATAACAAAAGGGCAAAAAAAGGTAATGTAACAAATACTGGTTATTTAGTTCCATAAATATAAATAATACAAAATTTTGAATTAAAATACTTACAGATGGGCTGCGGGATCGGGAAATCCTTCCATCTGCAAAAAATGATTAAAGGATGAATGGATGGAAGCAATAGATATCGAGTACATGCATTTATCAACATATTACAATTTCTATATCATTTTCCTAACAACTCAGAACAACTACATAAGTACAGAGATTTGTGAGGAATAAAGAGATTTAAGCAAAGATATATTGAATTTGAGAATGTATAAAAAGTGATTATGGTATTATGATAGTTACTCAGTACAGTTTCAGCATCTTTCTTTTACCTGAAAGAGATATCAATTAACTTGGCTTGTTTTACATTTTCCTGAAGTACAAGTAACATACCCTACTATAATTTATTGAAGGTGTTATCATACCTCAAAGTAATTTAAACGATTACACCTACATATTATGCACTCTGTTATTCGAATCTAAATGCCAAATCATTATCTTTTATTTACTTCCAAAGTTATTTGAACTTATGTCACCAAAAAGTAGCAGCAGGTGAAAGAAACTTTTTTTATGCCGGTACACTCGTACGAATATTATAATATTAAGCAATTGTGTTTTAGTAACAATAACTTATGCAGCTGTAAAGAAATAATTGTAAATTATAAAAGAAATTAAAGTAAATTCGCAAATCTAACCTGTCTCGACATCCATCACTAATTTGTTGAAACTACTTGCAATTCGTCTATTTACTCAAACACATTTGATCTAGGATATTATCATGGTGATGGGCTGATACATTATCCAGAAAAAAACTCCTATAATAAACTGAAATCAAAATTTTCTTGATTTTTGACTTTTCCTGATATAATTTATTTTTTGATGCTTTACAGTCATAGAGTGCCAACGTTGAAAGTTTTAAATCTCATGTAGGTATTTTATACGCTCTTTGGCTTTGATTGTCACCGTCAAACGTCAAGTTGTCAATGTCAATCCCCAAACATACTAAACAAAAACAATACAAGAAATAGAAACGAAATGTAACTTACTTTAATTATGTTTTGCTATTAAATAACAATACATTGTAAATCTATATCATGGAAGAAGCTGGCAAACTAACTTTAAAACGAGTGGAGCTTTCTCTTACAAAATTTAACGAAGTCGCAATCCCTCATCATTTGGATTTGCTACGACAACACAAAGCTAATATTATCAAGGTAATAATATTTTTATTCCAATTAATTATTTGAAGGTCCTGCATATGCAAACAAAACAACAATACATTATAAATATTTTTCAAGATACAATGTGGTTAGGCTCAACATATAATTCTAAAAATAATCATTGTTATGTCGTAGTTTTGAGTTTCAACCTGTGACGTGAACTCTGGCACGTGTCTTTTCGGAACAAAAACTAGAAAGACTATTTTTAAAGTAATATTTGTTAGAACTCTGCAACCCAATGCTAAATTTATTTTAGGTATGCCTTTTAAATACAAGAAACAAATGTCAGTACTTATGTCACAACAAAGACTTATTGATAAAACTATTCTGGCCTTCATAATCAAAGTCCATCATGATATGTTATAATCCTCAAGGCTACAGTTGCAACTTGTATATACCTTATAACAGTTGGCACAAATGTGCTGAGAACTAAACATAATGAATCTATCCTAACTAATGTTGTATGAAGCAAAACATACACATTAAGTAAGGTCACAGGGCATTCATATATCAACACATATCTCTATTTGTCTATCTTATATAAAACATTCTAAATTAAGGATGTAGACAGATAGAATTTTGTCTCTTTGTTGGTATATAATTCTTGCATAAGATATTTTCATACAACAATATCTAAGATATTCGCTTTAAAATTATATTTATTTAAACAAATACTCCCATGTTTAACTTAAGTATTTTATTAAATCTGCAAGAGAAAATCATCACACAAATCAATCTTCTATCAATTATCAAAAATAACTTAGTACACAAAAAGAGTGACTATGCCATAGTCAACCATGCTGGCCCACTGCGGGTGTCATGATATAAAAAGTGAATGTTCTGTGCAGTATGGAGAAAGCGGCGACACGCGGCGGCTGCGTGCCGAGCAGACGCACGCGCGCCGCGTCGCCGGGCAGCTGCGGGCACTGCTCTCAGAGATGGACGCCCTGCGCGCACAGGTCTGTGCTCCTGTGCACTGCTCCTCTGTGCTAACAGTTTTGTGTTACATGCTGTATGGTCTGTGCAGGTGCGCCAGGAGGACCGGCAGAGGTTCGACACGATGACGCAACGCACGCGCGACCTCACTCTGCGCGCTATCGTCGATTACCTCGGTGAGTAGTGGTGTATGAGACAAAAAAAAAGGTGTATGAGGCAGGCGCGGTAGAGGCGGCTGACGGTGGTTGTGTGCAGGTGTGATAGAGCGCAGCTGCAGGGGGCTGGTGGGGGCGGGGCGCGAGCGCTCGCGGCGCGGTGAGCCTGCACGCTGCATGCCCCTCCCCGCAGGGTTGCCAGACTACGTGTACAATGTTATTTTAAATTGTGAATTACATTCTATACCTGGCAACCCTAGTCATGTAATTCTTTTGTAACTTCGAATACCTTAATATTGGATTTCACGCCAACAAATAACCCTATCGATATGTTTTAACTGTACTAATACAACATATATCATAGGTTTACGTTAATCGTAATCCCCATTTTGTGCAACTGTCGAATTTTTAAGTTTGTTTGTTGTGAACTCTGGCCATTTATGTGATTAACTTTTGTCATTCGCGTAATCAACCAAAGGATTTCCACTTGTTTGTATAACAGAAGCTTTTGGTTTTGTTGGTTTAAATGTGTAATTCAATACGTTCAGATTTAAAACGTAGAACGTATTGATGTAGAGTCCTCTCCGGTGACGATCCGTCGCCTGGAGGCGGCGGGGGCGGAGGCGGGGGCGGGGGCGGAGGCGGGCAGCGCGCGCTCAACGGACTCTGTGGGCGTGGTGTCGCACGCGGGCGCGCAGCTGCAGCTGCACCACGACGAGCAGGTAGAGGCGCGAGGCGCGGGGGCGGGGGCGGGGGCGGGTGCAGGGCGGCGACTGACGGTGGCAGTGGTGTGCGCAGGAGGCGGCGCTGCGCGAGCGCGAGGCGGTGCTGCGCGGGTGGGGCGAGCTGCAGGCGGAGGTGCGCGCGCTGCACGACGCGTGGCGGCACGTGCACGAGGCGGCGCGGCTGCAGCGCGACCAGGTGCAGGCGGCGGCCGGCGCGGCGGACACGGCGGCGCTGGAAGTGGCGGCGGCGAGGGAACACCTCTCCGTCGCGCAGAGGTGCGGCACCGCGGCTGTCTGACGGGAGTCTCTCCTAGTCATACTTCAATGTGTAAATGGTGACATGTGATTGTAGGATGAGCGTGGGTCTGGCGAGCGCGGGGTGCGCGGCGCTGGGCGCGGCGGTGGGCGGGCCGGTGGGGCTGCTGGCGGGCGCCAAGGCGGGCGCCGCGGCCGCGCTGCTGGGCGCCGCGCTCGGCCTCTTCGGCGCCCGCGCCGCCGCCCGCCTGCCGCGCGCCCCGCCCCCGCTGCCCGCCCCCGCACCCGACACACACCACCACAAGCACGAATAATACAAAGGCACGTTTCTCGCATCATAATAATCTTTTATCGTACAAATCGAAATAAACATAATAAATTAGGGAAACGAAATATAATCTGTTTTACATAAGAATTTACTCCTTATTACCTCCAGACACAAAAAAAAACAAAACAATTTGCAGTTAATCTTGACTAGAAAAATATATGTCTAAAAACTGACCAGAGAATTATTTTTAAATTATCGCTATTAAAAAAAAAATATTCCAAAGCTTTGTAACATGAGTTGCAATGTTTTGTATTAATACATACATACTATGTACATAAAATAAATATTTTCCTCGACAGCGGACGATATAAAAGTAGAGATATTTAGTACTTGCTCAGAATTATAAAATCCCTCACAAAATTCAATAAATCATAAAATATGTTGCTTACGCAGCATCTGAGCCGCTACACCTGACATTGTGTTGTGCGCGGGTCGTCTGGTGCCTGCATGCATGAGCTTAGAGTAACATGGATTAATATTAAATTAGAGTAGTAAATTATTTACATAATGTACTAATTTATTACATAAAAAAGCGTTATTTATTGTATTTGTGTACATGCGGGCATATGTTACGTCTGTTGCAACTACGCAAAACCAATCGAGGAGCTATAAGCTGTGATGTATGCTTTAAGGGTATGTATTATCAATAAAATAAACAATATTTAGTTGTTGGTTGTCTTATTTCATTATATTGTTTAAAAATTTACCTTTACCCCCTTTTTAACCCTTTTCTTGTTAGTGTATCTGTAGAGATACATCAATTTTTTTTTCTAAACACGGTCATCAAGGTTAAGTGCTCTGAATATTATTTTGATATTCGAAAAAATAAAATTCTGCCAAGTTAAGGGTTAATTAACGAAATTATTTTTCCCAAAATATTTGCACCATGGCAAAAGTTAGTTCTCACATTTGCCGCAGAAATTGGAATGAATAATGGCGGGCACTCAACTCTACATAATCTATATCCGTACTTGTCAATTTAATTTTTGTTTGTTATCTGTGGTACATCGCTGGTTAAAAAATCAAAAGTCAAAATCATGAAATGTTATAAAACATGGCTGATGTGATAGGAAAACTTACATCGTGATATTTAGACGTTACGTTGTAATAATAGTAATTTAATTTTGTTAATATTAAAGATATTAGGTATTAAAAAGTGAATAAAATATAACCATTAAGTTTTACTTAAATCTTGTTAGCGGAGACGAAATTAATGATCGTCAGCGTACGCGTCACATTGACATAGTGAGAAAGTTTTGGGAAGTCTCCTCGCGAATGAAGCCGTAATTATTTCGTGTGATTGTGCGATGTCGTTTCCACCTCGGGCTCCGATGGTGCCTTACGGGATCGCGCCAGGAGTAGTCACAATGCCGATGGCCACTCATGTGAGTTATTTGCCAAGCGGCATTTATTAATCTAACCTGAAAAATTGTGTTTTCAAATAGTTAACATTGCAGGATTTCCTCTTTGTATTTTTAACGATTTCCAATAAAGAATTTAGCCAGTAATAGGACAGTTAAATAAGATGATTTACGGTTTCTTTATTTAACAAAATCATTGAAAATTATTAAAAACAGTGATGTATGTAAAACAAGGAATAATAATAGCGGTGTTAATGTTTTATGTAGCAGACACTGTTACAAAGGACATGTGAGGTGTATGCTTGTTACTGTGTGATACTTCTGCATCATAATATCAAGGATGCAATGCACTTGAGTATGTTTTTTGTTGCTATGTTCTAGATAGTGTTGATTTTTATTGAATGTTACCAAACTGTTTTTTATAAATCGGATTTATTGTCTTACCATATCTTCTAATACATTATTAAATTATTATTTAATTTATGTGATGTTCATCATCATCTGGTAAATGTCCTGTATCACATTTAAAGAGGAATGTTTAAGGAGGTTTTAATCTCTGCTGTTTTAATATTAATATTGTTGCCATAACAATATTCTACATTGTTATTGGTGTCTAGGTAATTTCCATAGTACTTTACAATGGTAGTCTTTGTAATTGGATGATGCAATACCACAACTAGTCATAATATATGTTTTCAGGTGATGGTCGGACCTTACAGTGGCACAGTGAGCGCAGGCGGGGGCTCGGGCCGGGGAGCGCTGCTGCCGGTGCCCAAGTCCGGCCGGGCTTCACAAAGACACACCAACGGCAAAGACCACGATGGACCAGCTGTCACTGTCTTCATTGGTAGCATGTCAAAACATTCATATTATTTATGCCAATCTTATACTTTTCTTAATGAGTCAGATACATTTAATTTTATACAATTATTTATAGATGGTAATATAAATCCAAATATAAAAAATGCAGATTCCCGCTTACATTTTCTATTTTTTTTATAACATAAGGTGGCAAATGAGCAACCGGCCACCTGAATCCTTCACTGTGGCGTAGCGACCACTGTCCATAAACATTCGCAATTGTAGATGCGTTGCCTACCCTTATCGGATGGAGGAGAAGACGCACATGAAGAGGACACTTCCCCTTCCTATGCATCTCCTCCACCGTCAAATCCACTTCCCCTTTCCATCCTCTCCTTGTAAGAAAAGGGCGGTGAAGACAAAGGTACTTAAATTAGGCCTCCGGCAACACACTCATCAGACGAAACACGGAATTGTTTCCATTTCACGCCTGTCTTTTGTGTAATTGTGGTATTACACCGGGTGTGCCGGCCCATTCGTGCTATGATGTTAAAGCGGGCACTACCACTACCAATTTTACATTACATCTAACACATTACAAAATGTGTTAGATGTAATACTTAGTGTATATTGTGAAGCCTTAACAATTACACAGTGTCATCATTTTGAAAGAATGCCACTCGCTGTTTATCCCATTTTGAATTTACTAGATGATAATTAAAACATAGTTTTGGCAATGTAATGAATTCCAGTATAAGCTATTGATGTTCAATATTTCAACCTCCTGTTTTTACCCACAATGATGTAATAGGGGTGTCAAAAGTGCCCTGAGCCTCTTCCAGAGTGTTTGGTGTACTCGTCTTGGCGGGAGCACTGGCGCACATTCAGATTGTTCAAATTAGCTTGGGATCTGTGGCGACATCATTTTTAATGTAACATGTGCAAAATAAAATGCTCTTAGAAGAGATGCAGAATAATTCGACTTAAAACTTATTGTTTACTTTTCGAATAAGCAAATTATTCAGTGCCAGCACAGGAGTCGAGAATCGGGAAGTAGGTCGTATTGCGGTAGAGTGGCAATGCGGTGTGCGTTCTGATAGTATGTAGCAGGGAAGTCCGTGTGCGCAGGCAACATCAGCAGCCGCGCGCCCGAGGCCATGATCCGCGCGCTGCTGTCGGCGTGCGGGCCG